CTAATATCGGTGTCTGGAGCCCAACTTTTGTCAAAAACATGATGGTGAAAACCGCATATCGATATCTGTTACCGTTTCGGAGTTACGGGGTGTTTTTCAAAAATATGCATTTTTAACAAATCGCTGTAACTTTTGTACTATGGAAAATTTTGTATTTTTATGAAAACATTTCCAAAGCACCTTTTTACGTAGAATTTAATGGTTTAAGTATATATTTTTTTAAATTAATAATTTAAGAATTATCAACAGAAAATTTGATTTTTTATATGGGACACCCTGTATATTTTTAATTTATTGAAAATAATTTAAAATTACCTTTCCAAAAATATAACACATTTGATATTTTGCTCGATTCCTCTTCGAGATATAGAGTATATAAATATTCGCCCGCTTTAAATAAGTAGGCTTTAAACGACACCGGTTGTAATGCAAAAGAATTCTAGCTGTGAGCATCAATTAAAACGAACATAATATTTGCTATGAGAGATGCAGAATTTTGTAACAGTTTAAAATATATTTAACCAACATCACACATACAACATATTTAAACTATATCTAATAACAATAAAAATAAATAGCAAACCAAGACATGAGATTTTGCTACAGGTGTTCGACATATCGACCGTCTTCTGTTATGGACAGACGGGGCAGTTTTTGAACATTTTTCGTGCAATTCATTAACTCAGTAGGGTTGAAAGATACCCTCTCATAACTGCTAACTATTTCTAATTCTTGTCTAGATCCATGGGCACTAAGACAGGCGGCCTCGACTGCCAACGGCTGGGATCTTGGTTAGCTATTCAATTATTCATGAAATTGGCTGCAAAAATTTGCTGATAACTTCAGCGTTCTGATGCGGTGCGTCGTCTTGCTGAAAAAATATGTTTTCGAGTTCCATTAAGGGCATATCATCAATAAGGGGTCCAAAGCTTACTAGTTAAAAGTGGTGAACTTTTAAAAATTCTGTATTTCGAGGGGATTATAACAAAATATGTGTGCTATATTTTTGGAAAGGTAATTTTAAATTCTGTTCAGTTAATTAAAAATACAGAGGGTGTCCCAAATAAAAAATCAATTTTTCTGTTGATAACTCTTAAATTATTAATTTAAAAAAAATATACTTAAACCATTAAATTCTACGTAAAAAGGTGCTTTGGAAATGTTTTCATAGAAATACAAAATTTTCCATAGCAAAAAAGTTACAGCGATTTGTTAAAAATGCACATTTTTGAAAAACACCTCGTAACTCCGAAACGGTAGCAGATATTGATGTGGGGTTTTCACCATCATGTTTTTGATGAAAATTGAGCTCCAGACACCGATATTAGTTTTTGTCTATCTCCTATAGAAAAGGGTGTTTCCATTTTTTAGAAAAATATTCCAGTGATAACCCATATGCACGTCCCTGGTGAATATGGCGACACTTATTTAGCTTTAAAATATGTCGTATTTATAATAACTTTTACCCTCAAAAATTCATTCAAAACGCAAAAAGTACTTGGAAGAAAATTATAATAAGTCGAAGAAATATTAAGATTTTAACACCCTGTAGCTAGGAAACAAAGCAGAATCGGACCTATGTTGATATGAAAAATAAATCTTATTTTTACGTGAGGAATATCCTCACGAGAGATGGCGCATGTTTTTTGAAACACCCTGTAGATTTCATATTTCAGTCTTTGCAATATATTCGATAACTTATATCATACATACATTTTTACTTTGTCCTATTGTTGTGTACCCGCAGTTATATTTTCAATACTATAGGTTGAAGGTTTACCTGAATATAGTAATATTGACACTATCTTGACAGATAAATGTAACCTTACAATTAGCCTTTATCGCACAGTTTATTTCTAATGAAATTTAACAGAAATTAGATATAGAAGAGCTATAAGTGAATGGGGCCTTTTTCCTGTATCCCACAACGAGTGAAATACAACGAGGTAATACAACCAGTTAAATGTCATTGTTTTTACAACAGATTTTCGTACACTTCCAGGGACGAATAGTGCAAAGTGAAAAGACAAACATTTCATATTTTTCAGTTCGTTTCTTTTCTTTTTTGTCTCACGCGTGTGTTGAGAATGAGTGCTCCGATTTATTCAAATCTCTACAAAATTAGTTTATTAAAACGGGTAACATTATATTATTAATATTATCTGTATAATTAATACAGGGTTGTGATATGTCAATATATAATTTGCTAGCTATATATTCTAATATAAAAGTGCTTTTGTGTTAGTTCAAATAATATTTCTGGTTATAATGTGGCTGATGTTTTAGTGCAAAATGGGGATATTGTTCGTTCTCAAGCCTCCTTTGAATAAGAAGACTAAGGAAGGAGCATAATGCTATCCATGTATTCATGCATGGGGGGCGGAAAAAGCACTCTAGGGGGGATCCTTGACAGTTCTGTTTGACACATTCGAATTGAATTTGAAATTTTGTGGATTTGTCAGTCTTTACGGAGCTTATTTTATGTTATTTATTATTTATTCTACTACTGATAGATGTATAAAGGTAGTAAATCTAGATGGAAATTGTGGCAGAACTTAAATTAACAGTGACACTATCGCGATTTATCGAAAAAGACTCTAAAATAGTTGGTTGTGTAGCGTGCGGTAGATCTCGGCAAAAATTGAGTGAAATAATGGAACAACTTTTCGCTAGTGAAAGTGACTATATAATATACATACGTGTAGTAAACCGATCATTTATGAAATTCACTTAAATTAACTAAATTATATATTTTTCTTGCATTTTAGCTTTTATTTACTACTTGTCAAAGATCAGATGTCAAAGAATTTTGATACGTTAATTTGACTTACCTGCTTCAGTAGCGTATCAGATGTTTGTGTTAATAAATACTTATTATAACTTAATTTTAATAACTACCAAAATTTATTCACAACGTAAAATAAAACAACAAATTATTGAGTCTACCCCACGTCTACCCTACATCATAGTTTTACATTTTTTAAATAAAATTAGAACGGCACTGATAAACCGGAATTTAAGTCGGCCATATTTGAGGCCCATCGCAGTGTACCTAGGATTTTTGATATGCTCCTTCTCATACTCACTATACGCTGATTCGTCGATTTGGTGACTCTCTGCGAGTATGATACCGTTCGTTGATGCGATGCGTCGATGCGGTTCGTCGGTACGATTTGTTAGTTCATTTAGAAATTCGTCCATTGTGTTCGTGATATTTCTTTTGATGGTTTGCCCCAAAACCGACATTCCGCATCAAATTGACACATTGACGAATCGCATCGTCGAACCGCATCGACGAATAGTGGATATGGGGCTTTAGAATTTCAATGTTTTTTGTTTCACCAGGGTAAAGAATCATTTTTTTTGATTAATTTGGTAATATTTTTATTTTATCTTCAAACAGTAGTTAGTAGAAACTATAATTCAAGGGAGAAATTTGGTTTATTTCAAGGAGTTCTTTAAAAAGTTTTATAAGTACGTACCGGGTGTCCCACTAAGAATAGCTCTCGCCTGTATCTCGGAAAGTATTAGCCGTAGGGCCTGCGGAAAAAAATATTTATTACTAATGAGACTATGAGAAATTGCTGGAAATTATTTTAAAGTTTGTAGAACAACCGCTAGGGGGCGCAACTGCAACAAAAATTAAGAAAATGGAATTTTTACACAATTTTGCCTAGATAAGGTATACTATAAGTAATAGCTTCATAATCTTAAGTAAATTTTGAATATGTTTTGTTAGAACCATTTTCCCCTATCTGCCAAAATAAAGTGGTGGGGGACGGTTAGATCTGTTTTTATTTAAATTTTAATAACTCCGGACTGGATGATCGGACTCCAACAAGCGAGGGCTCGTTTAAAAGAACGTTTCTTACTCTATATTGTACCATATAACCAAAAATTATAAGCTTTTGAACGTAGACACTAGGGGGCGTTGTCTTACAATTTAACAAACATTGCGCGTTTTTTCAAAAAAATTAAATGCGATAGTATATGTCATTATAGCTGATAGTAAAGAGTAATAAAAGCTTAACAAGTCAGCAAAAAACGAATCTTGATATCTTTTTTCAACCCAAAGTTATTACCAGAATTATAATAAATACGAAAATATAAGCACTTAATTACCTTATTTTTCTAACACGATATTACTAGCCCTCTTGATTATGAACATTTTGACAAAAAATAAGATAGAAATGATTAGATTACTCTAAAATCGACAATATACCAGAATACCATAATACCAGATGAATTAATATCTACTAATTAAGATATCAATGACAGTTAATAAGAAACGACGCCTCAGTGAAGTCGTGGTAGGCTTTGGAAAAAAGTTGCTTTTCACGTAATAGTATAAACGTCAAAGTGTTATTAGATCAACATTTTGATAGTCTTAGCAGCGTTTTTTCTCTGTTGAAGAAAGGCAATTTTAGAAAACCAATCAAAAGATTGATGTTTAAACTATCCGTTTAAAAGCAACTTTTTTCCAAAGCCTACCATGAATTCTCTAAGGTCGTTTCTTATCCACCGTCATTGGTATCTTAATTATTAGATATACACCTAGTATTATGGTTTTTTGGTTCATTGTCGATATTTTGAATAAAATAATCTTTTCTATATTATTTTTTAGTAGAATGTTCATAATCAAGAGGGCTAGTGATACAGTGTTAGAAAAGTAAGGTAATTAAGGGTTTGTATTTTCGTATTTATTGTAATTTTGCTAACAACTTTGGTTTGAAAAAAGATATCAAGATGCGGTTTTCGCTGACTTGTTGAGCTTTTATTACCCTTTACTATCAGCTAAAATTACATATACTATCGCATTTAATTTTTTTGAAAAAACGCGCAGTGTTTGTTAAATTGTAAGGCAACGCCCCCTAGCGTCTACGCTCAAAATCTTATTATTATTGTTTTTTCAAAAAATTGTTAGAAAAAAACATTTATTTGTTGCGGTATAATATTCTTCGGTTTATATATAAAAAAATAATAGGAGTACTTTTTTTCAGGAATTAGGATCTCAACCTCTTCCAACTATTTCCAGCGACGATGCGGATACCTTACCGAGGCCCAGATCGGGTACGTGGAGTGCCAAAAGCGACTCCAAGAAAGAAAAGTCTGATAAGAATAAGCTGAAGAAGGATAAAAGTGGGGATGAAAGAAAGAGGGAGAAGCATGCGTATGGTGGAAGTCGGAGTGGGTCTACCTCAAGGTTAGTTTAAATATTTATGCTTATTATTGCTCATTAGAAGTGGACGGAATTTCACTGTTACTGATGAAGAGATTAGTGACGAGTGAATGCAAGACGGTGACCAACACTCCAGGTCTTGATCTTGCACTCCAATAAGTATTCTTGGTTTTTGTGCAAGACTCTTCAAGTCTTCCACTTTTCTTTAATCACCGCGACCTTACAGGGCTATTGTGTGTTCCTCCTTCTTGAGTTATAACGAGTTATAACTTATCATATATTCTCAGAGCTTTGACAAAAGGCAGTTTCTTCACAGAGGCCAGCTCTCCATCTCTGACATCAGCCGTACCAAAGCTTATGGCACGAACGGTTGTCGTCTAGGCGCACTCAGTGATAATGTGTTTCCCTAATCTCCCCACAGAATCTGCAATCGCCGCGCCGTTGTTTCTCAGCTTCAATCTACTAAGAGGATACAGTGTCCTGTTAGAAACCCCGTGACAATCCGAAGATTTTTTTTCCTTAAATCAAGGAAAATCTTTGATTTTCCTCGGTCGTAAGTTCTGAGGAACTTTTTCGAGTATCCTAGATCGTTGGAAGATTCCCGTTCCAGGTTACGGATGGAATCTTCCAGGTTCTTCAGTTCCGCTTTACGTTGGTTTCCGCTTGGAAATAAGCAGAACGATTCTGATCCAGTTAGTCGAACGTTGGGTCCTTTTCTAGCTAGATCGTTTGGTAGTTAGATCGTTGCTTTTTCATTGCCTTCTATCCCTTGGTGAGGTTAGGTTAGAGGATTTTATTTTCTTTGCCGAATTCGTTCGGCTTCTCTAGGCCTTCTTGGACCAACTTCGAATTGATGGATACCGAGTTTATCGCTTTTAGTGTACCTACTGGCCTACAATTTCTACATAGAATTTTTTTAAATAAATAGTATTTTAAGTAAATTAATGCAAAAGAAATAATCGTCGGATAATTTTTTAAATATAAATCTGGCCCAAAACAATGCGTCCAACGTTAGTTCTAATGGTAAAAAAATGGTGGTTCTAAAGGTCGTAACCAACATTTGGCACAGGTTTCGACAATATTGCAATCGACAAGTGTTTCTCCTACACGATGTGGCAAATTTTCATGTGTCCAACGTGTGGAAGATATTTGCCACATCATCGTCTGGGACCGGCTTAAATATAGTGTGGTCCACTAAGTAAGTAACATATGGTCATTTTTTTTTTAATTAGAAGTCATATCCAAATGGCAATACTGTGAAAAGTTAATGGTTATCCGATAACCATATCATCAATATTTAGAATGTGTGCAAGTCAAACAACCTACAGGGTAGGCCCAAAAATACGAAAATCATTCAAGAGTAAAGTACCTTTATTTGAAAGAATTTAAAAAAATGGCATCAAGAAAAGTTGTTTGGAATTAAAGATAAGCCTAAATACAAAGTCACAACCTCTTATGCGGAAAATGAAAATTTATCAGAAAATTTTGAAGCGGCCTTGTATAGTGCGTTTTTTGATGTTCCGCGTATACTCGTGTTGAAATTAACAGTTAACAGAAATCAGACAAGTGCTGATTATTTTGCCTTTGACTTATGGAGGTCCTTAAAATTTACAAATGTTTTTATTTTTTTGTTCTACAATTACTTGTGCTATTACTGTTGCAAGGGTAGGTACTTAATTTATGTTTAAGATTTTCAAAACATTTTTTTCATATGCCAGATACTTCACTAATTCCAGTCACTAATAGTGTGAAAAATAGTCAAACAGAACCTTCCAGTTCATTCGTTTTTACCCGGACACCCAACTTACGTACGTTTTTTGGCTTACCCTAGGTTGTTTGATTAGCCATCATGTTAAGTATCGCTGATATGGTTATCAGACATGTACTCACTTTTTACAGTATGTATTCCCATTTGAATAGGACTTCTAATAAAGAATAATTATTCCATACTTAGTAAACCACACTGTATATTCAATATTGAATCCGCATTATTTCCTTATCGTAACACTATTTAAAATAATTTTAAATAATTATGGATTTTTATATCATATCTTTATATTTGATTGGTTCAAAAAATGAGCGTTTGAACTATTACACGAAATAGTTTCGAAGAAACCTCTTTTTATTAATATTTACTTAATAGTTTATAGGGGGGAAGGGTAAATAAATAAAAATCCTATAATTTTTTGAATTATTAACTACAAAAAATAAAATGTAAATAAAAAACGTGGAACTAAATGCAAAACCGCAAAGGCGCATCTTGTTAGTTAGATCTAGGTCTCAGTCTTTGTCTTGCCTTGGTCAGTCTTGGTCTTGGTCTTGCAGATATAACGCTAGTCTTTCTTGGTCTTCATAAAGACTAGATCGGGTCTTGATCTTGATACTTGTGCTGGACACAAAAATAAATACATCTAATGTTTTTTTGGCGCAGAGGAAACCAAAATAATTCTGTTACAATATTTGTTTTTATTCAATAATTGGGAATATTATACCAAAATATTAAATTAAAAATATACCGGGTAACAAAGAAGTTGTCACACCTACCTACAATATTTATGAATTATTTGCCTGTTGCTGTTTTTCTAATACTTACTGGCCATTAGTTGAAGCATAAAAATAAATTAGTTTTATTGCCAATGGATTATTTCTATTTTTCATTCAACGCTAATACGTTTTTACTAAACTTTATCGTTTGGATATTACATATTTTAAATGAGATAATTATTTATTTTAGCCTAATTGAAGAAACTATTCTCTGCATTTATTTTCAATTTCAATAATGACTGTTAGTGTTTTCGGTTAATTAATTGACCTAACCATCGACTGTCAGAACACACCTAGGCTAATTATGTCATTAGTGTATATTTGTTATTCATGGAGACAAAACGTTAATTTTTGACTGTAATTCTTATTAAGTAATTTAAAGAAAAACGAGTTACTCATGCATTATAATTCCTGATATTAAAGCGGTACTACTGCATATTACATTGTTAATAACAGATCATTGGATTTCCTTATAAAAAATGCTATTTAAACAATGAAGAATTATTCTAGACTAGTGTCTGGTGCAATTTTTAATGTTTTTTTAGTTAGTTAATTTTCTAGGTATATGTAGGTACTTAAATGTAGGTTAAAAAATCGTTTATAATATAGATGGCTTCCGTGGTATATAGAGTTAAAACTTTTAAAATTTTAAATAAGCATATAGATTTTTTTTTGATTTTTTAGCGCAACTGTAATATGCTGAAATAAAAGTTCTGTTTTTTTTCTATTTTTTATGCACTTGTAATTTCTAAATTATGTAATGTATATTCCAGTTTACTAAAATGTTTGGGAAAAAGATAAGTTATGTCACTTTTATTCCTGATATGGGGGGGGGGGATATATATTTTTCTCTTAAGAACAGTATTTTTATATGAAGGTTTTTATAACTAGGATGAGCTGTTTTTTTCCACATCAAAACGAGTAAAAAAAGTCATTTATATTATGAATAAATTAATTTGTAGCAGGTGACAATTTTAATTTATGCTTATAAATAATATGTGTTGGTTTATAATTATTTATTATGCTCAACAAATAAAGATATTATTATTCTAGATTATTTGTGGTATAGCTATACATTTTTATGGTTATAACTAAATAAATAAAAAGAGATATATGTATAAATAAATGTTCAATGTTTCGGAAAAGCTCTAAACCCGGTCTCTGATTTTTCGTTTTATAACGATTATTTCCAGCTGCTTAGGTTAGGTTAGGTTGCTGGGGTTTGGGATCATGTTTGATCCTCGGTTTGATCCCTCACTCGGGGGTCTTGGGCTCATTGCGATACCCCTGTATTATTGTACCAAATCTTCCTCTCATTCTTTCTTTGCGTTAAAGCACTTCCAGCTCTTTACAAAATTTCCGATGTCGTTGATGTTGGCTTCTGCTGCTTCCTCTAATCCCTCCAAAAAACCTTGTCCTAAAGTTTTAAAGCGTTGGTATTCCAGTGCCGGACAGTGGCGCAGCAGGTGCTTTATGGTTACTTCTTCTCCGCATTCTCTGCAGTAGTCGTCATTGAAAATCTCCCATCTCACGAGGTTGGCACAGTTTCCAGTGATGATACCTGGAAAGTCATTATGCTCGCCATTATGCGTACTAGGTTCTTTTTGTGCTCTATTAGTTGTTCTTTCTTTTTGCTATCTACATCTGACCATAAGTGTAGCACAGTCCTCACGGTATTGCCACGTCTCTTGCTGCTTGGCCTTGATGGTAGTTTCTATAGCTTCCTTCAGTGTGTTGAGAGTCACATGTGGTGGGTCATCTGCTACGGCCTCTCCCCTAAATAAAATTTATTCATCATGTTGAAAAACAAAAGCGTTTAAAAGTTTTCTACTGTTTTTTCTACCTCTAGATGCAAAACATAAAAGACAACCCTTGTATTATCAGAGATGCTTTTGTTAAATCAGAAAGTAGAGGACCAATGTTCCATGCTGTAATTGGAAAATGAATCATTACTTACTAAATGTAGCCGGAAAGCTAGGAGGTCTTAAACATTCTAAGAACGTTGATATGATGGTTATATGACATTCTTGGATAACAATTTTCGATCCAAATATTTAAAAAAAATGTATTTTTACCAAAAAAGTTAATTTTAGATTGTGGTATACGAGTATATCAGTAAAAATATGGTATATGTATATCTAGTAAAAAATCAACTTAACCTAAATCGGCATATTTATTAATTTTCTTCACGTAGGTATTAATTCTTTGTAACAATAAATACTACAATATTGTTTGTGTGTCGGTAAGTGTGTCGGTTAACTTATAAGAACATTTTGCATAATTAGTATAACTCCAAACGAATGAATTGTGCTTTAATCAATATTTACAACGTTTTCTGTGTTACATGTTAATTTTATATTATGATAATGACCTTGGGGATAGTTGTAAAACGTCAAATATGTTCAAAAACAATAGCGAGATGTGTTTTTGAAACAACATTATTGCTTAGAGGTAATGAAGTATATGTATATCTAGTATGAAATTTATGGGGTACGAAGTATTATTAGATAGTATAAAAATTTCATAACCAAAATGAAATATCTAAAAATAAAAATGAGGCGTCAAGTTCCAAAATCCGGCTTATCCATTTAAAAAATGCTTAATGACATATATTAATAGTGTATCCTGTAGTATCTACAACCAAACTGCAGCAAAAGTCGCCTATTCCTTTATAAAATTCACTACAATTTACGTTACTGCAGCGCAATCCGTCTTATCAACTTATATTTGCTTTTTATTTGCAAATACGGCATTTTTTCATAGGATTTCTACACAAGTATAATATTACTACTGATGTCTTATCTATTTCAAATCCTTACCTAATTTTAATGAAATAGCATATTCAAAATTTGCGAGAAATGTCATTTTGGCCTTTGGTTATCATCCGTCAAGAGAAATTGTGGTTAGAAATCAAAAGTGTATTGTTTTATAAGCTAAATATTAGGCTTTCTCTATGGATGCCACTGACTAGAGCAAGCGGTTTCTAGGATATTAATTAATTGTTTATTAAAATTTTTTTAAATTTTAAAATTTTCTATTAATTTTAATTGTTTATTAAAATTAAGAGATATTTTTTATACATTGTGAATGATCGTAAACTAAAAAAGTATAAAGTGTAATTGGAACCACTAATTTGTTCCACTAATTGCGAGGTTCTGAATGAAGCTTAAGTCCATTTGTCATAATACTTTTTGATCATACACACTGGTACACTGGCGTTATTTTTTTAGTGTAATAAATACTGTTTTAAAAAATTAATACTGTTTCGAAAAATCTAAAATCTAAAAACTGAAATAAACTTTAGAAAAATAGTATTGCTTTACTGTGGAAAGCAAGAAACTCGCATATGAGCTACAGGAAAAGAGAATTAAAAATTAAGTAAAGGTGTTTTAAGGAATATTAATAATATTAAAGCATATTTATTTTGTTGACAGGTCGAGTTCCATCGAACGACGGAAATCCGAAGATGTGCCTAGTCCGAAAAAAGAGGGCGCAAGAAGCCGCTCCAATTCAGATGCTAGTAAAAAGAAAGGAAGTGCCTTTTTAGCGTCCATGAAGGCCGCTATGTTGGTAAGTTCCCTTTATTTCAATATAATTCAATAACACTTATCAATATTTGATATATTTAACCGTCATGAATGGAAATTATTTTAAAGTAGGTATTTTGCAATTCCAAAAGGAAATGCAAATTATTATTTCATGTTTTAGAAAGTATAGAGATAGAAATAGATAATAGGTAATATTATACACCGTATGATCGAGAAACCGGCGTCAGCTATGACTATGGAAATCGCTGTCATTTTCTATCTAAAATTATATGGAAAATATTATCGATCGTCATTTCCAAGCCATCCGGACGCCGTTTTTTTTTTTCGATCATACGGTACTAAGTATCGCTTAGAGGTACCATTCTATTTTATTCGCCCAATCTCTGTTTATGAAACATTTTAATATGTATCGTTCCATTTATACATGTTAAAATAGAGGCAAAATTTACAGGCGTAATTTGGTTTTTCGGTTCTTCCACTTTAAAAGTATTGTCCATTGACTTGCTTACAGTGTAGGTACTCTAAACAAAAATAAAACACGTTGTTTCTTTGTATTCTTAATAACTTCCTGAGAAATAAGTCAACACTTCTATGGTATTCTTTCTTTTAAACCGTCAACTCAACATTCGCTGGTCTCTCTTTAAACACTGTGCTGTTCAAATATCCTTATAAAAAGTAGCCAAAGAGTTAAGAGTCAGTTTAAATCTGGAGACCCCGCTGGTCATTCCAGTGGCCTCCTTTACCTATAGATCTGCGTTAAAAAACTTCATCCAGATATTCTCGAACAGGTCTTGCCGAATGTGGAGGAATACCATCTTAAATTAATAAAATACCATCCAAATATTTTGATTCGAGAAATTGGCTTCAAGAGGATCGGGGATTTAAATTGCCAGATTTAGGAGAAGCTCGCCATTTATATTATCGTTGCAGAATATTGGACCTGTCACTCTGTCACCAATAATACTCGCCTTAAGACCTAACTTTTTCTAACCATTAGCAATGACCTTCCCTCGCCCAGTATGGGTTTTCATCTGCCCAGTTATGACAGTTCTGTTGATTTACTTAGATTAGATTCTTCGAAGTGGCTATTGATCACATCAGATCTATTGTGGTCCTCTTCTGATCCTTAGGTTACATTCTCCAGACCTGTCCTTTTCACAAAGTCTAGCAACTTTATCAAGCAACAATCCTATTAGTTTTAGATGCCTATTCAGCTTACAATGTCCTGTTAGTAGACTCACTACAGCTTTGACCGTCTTTCTGTCTTTTCTTATCAGGTTTGCCATGACTTTTGGCGAATGAACTTTTTTGTCCTGGTGAATTTCTCCACCATTCTAGAGATTTGTTGGCCACCCATGGTTTTGTGGTCATTCTTGTGATTGCTTTTGCAACGCCGCAAAAGTGTTCTGGGCGAATGCAACGCAGCAAAAGGGTTCTCAATGAATGGTATTGATGAGCCTTGTTTGTCCATTCATCTCCCTTTTCATTACCCTTGTGACTCTCGTGCCCGCTACGCTCTCCCAAAGTATTTAGAGATTTAGAGTACACATACTATCCCACATTAGTGTAGTAGTAGAATTGACCTCCGTGTAATCGAGTGTCTTTAAAGCTGCTTGGTTGTCTGTGAAGATGGCAACCGGACGATATGTTCTTTTCTGCCTTATTATTTCTTCTACACAACAGTGGATTGACGTTTGGCATTTCACCTGGAAAATTGTGACATTGTTAGACAGGCTTACGTAAAGAAATATTCCTACTATTCCACCTCCTACGCATCCCGATGTTCTTGAGCCGTCTATATACCAGATTTCCTCAGCTTGAATTGACTTACTTAAAGTTGCGTCAGAAAGAAGTATGCTCCTTAACAAGACGATCCTTGACAGTGACACAGTTGTGTGTGCCAGTTTAATGGTTTTTATTAAAGAATGAAGAAATTAACAATTAAAATTGAGAACAAAAAATGCTTAAATTGCATTTGATTGATGAATGATTCGTATTTATGTTTATAATGTGACATCTAATTCTTATTTACCTTCTAAGTATACTGGTCTCATGCATGCCAAATCTAAAGACGGATCTGCCCATCCAGTGGTGGCTCCCGATAGTTCCGATACAAGATATTATCATACGGTCACGGCGGCAGCCTCATCAAATAGGAGTCCAATGACGAAAGTTATGGATATTTTTAGGTAAGTTTTCCCGTTCAATGTATTCTAATAAAGTTGCTATGAGTTTTTTTACGGCTATTAAGCTATCTTGTACACTTTGCACTGATAGAGGTTCTAAAAAGAACAATATTCGACTGCAAGGTATGCTACTAAACATTTTTAAGCTAAAGTAGCACAACACTATTTATTTAAACCAAAAACTTGTAATATAAAACTAAAGTGTTAAAACGCATGACAATGTCAAGAAATAAGTAAATAAATGTGGCAACTTGACATGTTTTACAGCAGAGCTACCACCTGAATCCCCAGGGGGAAATTTTGAAATTCCAGTTAGTCAGCCCGGCGCCGAATATGTCCATGGTTGGCAACAATGAACTTAAAAATTGTACTCTCGATTGCGTAACTAAAAGTTTAATTGGTATCAAATGTATGTTTTGATTTTGCCTCCTCAATAAAATAAATAAAGTCGGCCTAGTGATATATCATTGAATAAAGTTCATAACAATAGATAGGGTGGCGCACCTCATTCGCCTCGGTTGATTATACGGAAATGGAAAGATCTAGAAACAAAATATTTTGTGGGCATATGTGGGGAGGCAATATAATATTATTTTGAAATATACAGGGTGTTTCAGAACTAAGATCCATACTAAAGTTATATTTTTTCTTATGGAACGCCCGGTATTTTATTTTATTTTTGGATTTTTGGGCCCAAAAAAGGCATTTATTATAAGGGTTAAATATATAAATGTTTAAAATCTTTGGTTTTTGAGGTATTTAAAGATATTTAAATTTGCATGCTACAATAGAATAGATTATCAACACCCTGTACATTACATTTCAGAATAAATTCTTGTGCTAAGTTTAAAAGCAGAAAAATAAACTTTACTGAAAAATGTTATTGCTTCCTTAAATTTATACAGGGGTATTAAAAATTGCTGATCTATTTTAAGGATATATTTTACATAAAAACTTCGTTATTTTAAATACAACACCCTGTATTTTTTTAAATAAATGGAAGCAGATTTAAATGCTCTATCAAACTTCCTATACCTGTATTTCAAACGTTTCCTATACCTATCTAGCTCAGACTTTGAATAAAAAGCGATAAAATTGCAATCAGGGTGGCTGGTGTCGCCATGGCAATTTTCTAGTGACAGTTAGTAACTAGTTTTAAAGTCGACATTAGTTTATGGACTTTATTATTTAAATTTATGGCAGTTTGCTTTTATTTAATTTACCTACAATATTTTAATAAATAATACTTATTATTCTACCAAGAAAAACGAAGAAGTACTCTTTGATTTATTTTACAATGACTTGTAGATATATGGATTTTCTATAAAAGAGCCAATTACGACAAATTCATTTTCTTCTCTTCCAATGATATGTTTCTGCCTAATGGGTTTTTTATAAACCACACTACCAGCTCTGCGATATAGGACAAGTAGTTTTTCAAAAGAACGCTTATCAGGAAGACTCCTATTTGGATAACTTTGAGCATAAGCCTTTGAGCCAAGAAGCAATTTTCCTCACAAAATAAAATCACTGGTAACATATCCATTCGTTCCGCCAGCAGATACTGCTTTATTTTTCTTGATAAAGTAGTGAATACTTAATTATTTGAACTATTGTAAGTAAATTTAAGTAAACTGTTATAAATTATAAATAATAATGTCCATAAACTAATGCCGACTTTGAAAATAGTTACTAACTCGCACTAGAAAATTGCCATGGCGACACCAGCAACCCTGATTGCAATTTTATTTAAAAATCGCGTTTTATTCAAAATCTGAGCTAGATAGGTATAGGAAACCCTATATAGTTTGAAAGAGCATTTGAATCTGCTTTAATTTATTTAAAAAAATACAGGGTGTTGTATTTGAAATAACGAAGTTTTTATGTAAAATAAATCCTTAAAATGGATCAGCAATTTTTGATACCCCTGTATAAATTTAAGGAAGCAATAACATTTTTCAGTAAAGTTTATTTCTCTACCTTTAAACTCAGCACAAGAATTAATTCTGAAATGTAATGTACAGGGTGTTAATAATCTATTCTATTACAGCATGCAAATTTAAATATCTTTAAATATCTCAAAAACCAAAGATTTTAAACATATTTAACCCTTATAATAAATGCCTGTTTTTGGGCCCAAGAATCCAAAAATTAAATAAAATACCGGGTGTGTTCCGTAAGAAAAAATCCAACTTTAGTATGGATCTTAATTCTGAAACACCCTGTATATTTCAAAAAAATTTTAAATTGTGCACATTGCCTCCCCACATATACCCATAAAATATTTTGTTTCTACGTCTTTCCGTTTTCGTATAATCAACCGAGGTGAATGAGGTGCGCCACCCTGTTTAGTGCCATGAAATGGAAAATTAAAAGCACCATCATTTTTACATACATTTTTTTGTAATGTTTACTGTATAAATAAAAATTATTGTAATGTTTATTAAGCTTAAAAAGGCCTAAATAAAGTAAAATATTTTAGCTCAATAGATGTTGAATATCCCTGAAATGCCTGGTTAATCTGTTTTTTGAATTTTTAAGGAATAAGCCAACCTTTCAATCTGAAGAAGAAATAGTGAGGCGGGAAGAACGTAAAGAAGATAAAAGAAAAGAAGAGAAACGGGAGGAAGAAAGGCGGAAGAAAGAAGAAAAAGAAAGGCGAGAAGAAAAACGACGAGAAGAGGAGCGTAAAAGAAGAGAAAAGGTATTATGTTTAAACCAGATTTCTCTGTTTAGTAGAAATAACATGTGTTTCTATCACAAAAACCTATGATTAATACAGCGTGTGTCTTAAATAAGTGCAAATTTTTGAAGATGTGGTAGATCTGGACAAAAGAGATATATTTACTATTTGCCCATTTTTAAATTAAATTAAAAATAACCCACACACAGTTATTTAACTTTGATTTTAAAAAGTGCATACACTTTGAGAACAACAACAAAAATGTATAAATCGATAAGAGGGTTATATTAATCTTGCGACTTTCTTTTGAAATTGTTTCAAATGGACAAATATTTTTTTCTGTCGATAAAAATATGTTCTACAATAATGTTGAATTGCTAATAAATACCAAATAGTAAATACAGTATGTTTATACTTTTATTTACGTTATTGGTTGTTAATTACGCTCATACTGGTTTTGACACGATTTTGTTTTTTTATGAAGAGTTTGTCAAAATTGTTTTAATAAACAATTATAGGCTACTTGTTATCTAGAAAAACTTAACTATATTAAATTTATAAATAATGCCTGTGTTGTAGGCGTATCGCAAAATTAGTCTTTTTAAATAATGCTTACTCTTAGTTTTGTGAAAAACTTGGCGAATTGAAAGACAATACAATTCCATAATTTTCAAATTTGACTTAATATTTTAGGTATTTTATAAAAGTTGGAGATTTTGGTTTTATTTAAAGAAAATCAAACAAAAATGCCGTATGATCGAAAAAAAACGGCGTCCAGTTGGCATGTATATGTAGTCTATGCTCAAATCAAGGAAAAATAGAAACACAAAAATCAGAATATTATGTTTCTTCAAAAAAATCTTTTATGGGTATTGCGCCACTGCACTGCAAGAAAATCTATAAAATAAAATAGTTATTTTTTGTAAACACTTCTGGCGTTAAACCTAAACGGACACTGCTTGTCAGAAGTTATGTTTACAGTTATACAAATTTGCCTAACAAAGAAAAAAATGCTTAATGTTTCGGAAAGTTTATCTCTTTCCGTTGTCGGAAGCAAAAAATACAAAGAATAAAGAAAAAAAACTATTTAAAATACTTAAATTCAACTATTCGAGAACACTTTCCTTTTTTAAAATAGATACGTCTACAAGAAACCATTGACGTTCTGTTACCAGTATGAATGTAATATAAATATTATGTTGTTGGACTAAAACGCACTGCCCAGAAAATGCTAGAAACCACCAATAAAAAACTGAAACATTTAAACATTGGCCAGAATATCACTACAAAAGTTCCGAAAGTAGACGAAGAATGAAATAGAAATAGAAGAATGAAGTTTAAAAAAACTTTGAAGACTGATGCTCTGACTGCCTGTATGTGTATGAGAACAGGTAAAGAGCGGTTTAACAAAAAAATTGCTGACCGGGCTGGCTAGCGAATATGCTGTGATTAATTTATTATTTGTCTTATTTGATCTACCTCATAAACTGGATTTGTCCATTTATAATACACTAGTTGAAGTCTGGCGCATCCGCCACGACATCAGGAAAAAAAATACTTTTTATTTTTTGTTTAATTAAATGAAAAACAAAAAATCTCGCGACGACAGTTTTTAGAAGAGCCAATTAGCTATCTTTTAGTAAAAATAGCAACTTTCTACAGCAAGTCGTTACTTCAGTAGAGACGGCACAGATAAACATTAGCATTTTATATAATTGTAGATTCTTTTGTGAAAATAAAACATGATTGCAATCAAATTGCTTTTGCCTAGAATAAGATAATACCAATATGATAAAGCGTCTAATCGGGATTCGGCTCAATCAGACCAAGAACTCTCGGGCGTTTTATAAATTAGCTAAAACATTGAATCATATTGGCAAAATATGGAATTTTATTGGGCTTTTTCAATTTGCCTAGTAGCTTAAAAAAAGATTATTATTAGCTGTTATTTAATGTTTCTGAAATAATGTACTGAGATGTTAGGATAGTTTAACTTGCGTTTCTGAATTGTCTGAGAGTTACATAGTGCATCATTTATGTATGAATCTTCAAAAATTGATAATGAATTTGAGATTAGCTCTTTCGATAAACGTCTCATACTCAAAATAAAAAAAATTAAGGAAGTAGCGTATCAAAAACTTTAGGTCGAGCGCGATGGGGCCTTAAAATGGCCGACTTAAATTCAGGCTTATCATTATCGTTCTAATTTTATTTTAAACGTGTAAAAGATAATGTGGGGTCAACTCAATAATTTGTTGTTTTATTATACGTTGTCAATAAATATTAGTAGTTGTAGAATGTAGAATGTTTAGGAGGGCCTGGGGAGTTAATCACCGCGACGTTACACGTCTACCAAATCCTTTTTATTACTCAATACTACAGTGAGGTGTTTCTCAAAGTTGTTAATTCTTGGTAATCTCATCCACTGGGAGTTGAAGTGGAATTTTCTTTTTGAGGGTGTTCTAAGCCCCTGACCTGAAAATTCTCCCAGTACTGTTTCCGTCAATGACCATTCTAATCATTGTCGCATTGGCATAACTACCGATGACAATGTACAGTGGTGTTAGGTCTAGGATGACTTCCATTTCTGCTGTTGGGCATGTTCTCATGTCAATTGCGTCCACCATGCATGAATGCATGGATATTATTATACTCCTTCCTTAATTTTTTTATTCAAAGGTTTTATACAATTTAATTGACATTTATTGGAGGGATACACAGAAAAAAATTTTTTAAGAAATCTAGAAATATCCAAAATATGTGTAATGAGAACTCAAAAGTTTCAAATGCCAAAACATAAAGTTGTAAATTATATAGCCGTTTTTATTTTTTTTTTGTTTTTTAGAATATGGCGCTGGTGCATGGGAAGCATAAAGCAATGAGGGATGGTTCTGCTCATCCAGTTAGGGACAGTGATAACATGTATTACCATACGGTCACTGCAGCATCATCAAAAAGTCCCATGACCAAAGTAATGGATATTTTTAGGAACAGAACACATGCCAGCGTGCCTCCAGAGGAGAGACGGAAGGTATGATATTTATTATATTTTTATTAGCATAGAAGCAAATTGCATAGAGCAGGGTTTCTCAAATTGAAAGTCGTAAACCTCCAGGGGTTCGGCGTATTGAACGTTTTTAATTTGTGATGCATTTGCGCTGCTTTTAATTAACTTTCTGGTATAATTTGAAACAATTTTACAACAATATCTTTGCATACATTGCATTGAATTTATTTTTGTTTGTAAGATGTTATTTTCATACTTGGTTTTGATGAAATCAAAATGAATTGAGTTCTTGAATGATGCAATTAAAATTGAATTCACTTTACAACTAAAATTTTTAATAAAATAGACTGAATTTGGGACAGAAACTTGATTATTATAATTTCACATTGAATAATTGGACCCTGTATACAGGGTCCAGCAAGAGTGCGTCGGACATCTATAGCTCCTATAATAAACAAACTTAGGAATTTTGTTTAAGTGCAAACCTAAAGTATGTATTAGGATGTATTTCAGGAAAATATCTTAACTCCTACAGGGTGGCTCAAAAACTGTGAGTGGATCGGTATAATTTATTTTAAATGGAACACCCTGTATATTAAAAAAAAGGTCTATACCTCTGTGGCGGATTCATCTCTCCAAAAAAGTCCTACGGGTATTTGGCCTGTAAGAAAACCTACAAAATAAAATAGTTATTTTTTGTAAACACTGCTGAGTTAATCCAACGGAGACTAATTGTCAGCAGTGGCTTACTAATAAACAAATTTGCCCAACGGACAAAAAAATGCTTAACGTTTCAGAAAGTTTATCTCTTTCCTTCGTCGAAGCAAAAAAATACAAAGAATAAAGAAAAAAACTATTTACAAATTTAAATGCAACTCGAGAACACCTTAGTTTTTTTAAAACAAGATAAAAAAAATATTTTTATTTATTTATTAATCAAATATTAATAAATAAATAAAAAATGTATCTTTTCAGCCTTTTTTTAATTTATTAAAAATGCAAGAAATGTCCTGAAATCAAAACTATACTAGATATTTACTATAGTTGGACTGTACTTACTTTCCTATAAATGTCGTAATCTTAAACCATACATGATGTCCAAAATTCTATGCTAAACTTTCTAAAATATAAGATAATTTTTCTTCGTTTTTGTAACACCTTGTAGTATAAGTAAAAGAGTATAACTATAGGAACAGTATAAGTAAAATTGCGTCGTCAGTCGGTATACGTCAACTTAATCTAATTCTTCAAAATGATAAAACTTTTAAAAAACGTTTTTAATATTTTTTCTCTTTTCAAACAATTTTCGAGATGATTTACGATTAATTGCGAACGCAAATAACTTAATAAATCATAAGTTATTAATAAATTATCATGTTTAGGGTTTCCCAGTTTTTTTTACCAAAACTCTTGGTTTTAAGTACATACTATTACTGTTTTTCAGATTTACAGGGTATAATAATTAAGAATCTTTTTTTTATTAGAAATTAGATTAAATATTCTGTATCTATTCAAAAATATCATTATTACTTGGCTGCTGCAAAACCATAATGTTAATGATTTTTAACCAAATTGCTTTTAATTATTATAATACCATTGGGGATTGTTTTATGGAAGCGATATTTAGAAAACGATTTATAGAAAAAAGACTTCTTCAAAAGTTTTATACATATACTATTAATGATTTAGAAGAGGATAGAACAACCTGTAGATCGAAAATTAAATATATCAACCTGTAGCAAAAAGAAAATACTACTCCTCCAACTCCCAGTGGATACATACTAAAAATGTACAACTTTGAGAAACACCTCAATGTAGTATTGAACAATAAAAAAATTGGAAGGGAGAAACATTTACTCAGCAGTTAAAAGACCATATCATAACTTGATATACGGCTCCCAAAACCAATGCAAGAACAGGGATCGGAGTATTTGGGCCGAGAACTAAATAGTCCGAATCAGTGGGCACCTACCCTAGCATCCTACAGGCAGAAATCTACACTATCGAAAGATGCGTACAACTTATCTTAGATAGGAACTATCGGCAACAAGAAATAGTCATCTTATCTGATAGTCAAGCTTTAGTAATCAACTCAGTATCAATCAATTCGAAGTTGGTCAAAGAATACATAGAGAAGCTGAACAAATTAGGCAAAGAAAACAAAGTCCTCCTAGTCTGAGTACCATCTCCCCAAGGGACACTCCACTAATTAGACCAGCACTTCTGTTTTCAAGCGGAAACCAACTGAAAGCGGAATTCAAGAACTTGGAAGACTCCATCCGCTACCTGGAATAGAAATCCTGGAACGGTCTGACACTCGAAGAAGTTTCTGAGGACTTACGACCAAGAAAAATCAAAGATTTACCTTGATTTAAGTAAGAACAATTGTCGGATTGTTACGGAGTGTATAACAGGACACTGTCTCCTCGACGAATGCTTCAGCAAATTGAAGCTGAGAAACAACCGCGAATGAAAATTCCGTGGGGAAAAATCAGAACACTTCATTACTGAGTGCGCCAATTCAATCAACCATTCGTGCCGTAAACTTTGGTACGACTGATATTGGAGATGGAGGAGCCGTCTCAGATACTGGCTGCTTTTATCAAAGCCCCGAGACTATATGATGAGTTATAACTCGCTATAACTCCAGAAAGGGAGACACAAGATCATCTTTAAAGTCGCGATTATTAAGCGCCCTTCCCCCTCTAAGTTAGATGTAAGATTTTGGCAAAACCTCTCTCAGCAACCTCCCTCTGCATTTTCCAGGATTTTGGTGAGATGAAGTAAATTCCTGTATTTTACAGCGTTTTAAAGAGAGTTTCCCATTATAGGAATTCTGCTCTCCTGGTTCTCCCAGGGGTTCCAATGCCTCTGATGTATTTGGGGGTTGTTTTTTCTTAGACCTTTTCGGTGGTTGATTGCTACTGGCATATCGTAAATTAATCGCTTATTTCTAACAGAGATTTTACGAACTACAATTCAATGACAATGTTTTTTCTTTCGGACGCGCGCGGACAATAACGGGATTCTTCCCTGGAATTCCAAATATTTAATCTAACTTTTGAATGCGGTCATGTTGTTGCCGTCAAAATAAGGTTAGATTTGGATTCTACACACCTTCAAATGTACCGATTGGCTTGTGTAGTTTATTTTTGTCAAATTACGGTGTTTTTCTCCTCTACCCTTCATATTCGTATTTAAAGCATATGTGTGGTAGAATTATGGTCTTTTGTAGACTAAATAAGGATTTATTTGAATTGATTAACTTAAAAGCAATATTCCAATAGAACTACATACAAGTTTTAATAAAGCAAAATAAATACATAAGAAGGATACAAATAAATATCTGAGAGAATCAAATAAATGTGTTTTGCCATGATCAAAGCACTATGGTACGTATTTGCTAACAATTACTCGATCTCTGTTTTTATTTAAACAAATGATTTGACACTTTAGTGGAAATTTTTTAAAGAAGCGCATCATTTAAAATTTGACCATCTTGTATATTCTATTTGCGTGATAACAGTAAAACAAAGAGTGCATTGTATTTTCATATTTATAAAGTCGATACTTTATTTGATAATTAGATTTAGATATCTATATCAGTATAATTGTATTATGTAGTTATTAGTTATTATTTATTATCATGTAAATAACTAATAACCATTAAACGAGACTGTGATAAAATAATTTCATTGTTTAAATGAACATGTATTACAAAAACATAACATTTTTTATATTTCTGAAGATTTTTTAAACTGAAATTAGGAAAAATTCAATCAATAAATGGAGCTGACTTTCTCGATACATTTTGTCCATTTTTTCGAATTTTGGCAAACAAAGAATAACTACTACGCTTTTTGCAAGCAACTTACCGAAAAACCAGTATACTTAAAAAATGGATGAAAATCATAAAAATAGTACACCTACATACATGTGAAAAATCGAGTTTTGATGATATCTGAAAAAAACTCTTGAGTGTCCCTTAGACGTGAAATTTCTCTTTATTTTTCTGCTACTACGGTCCGTATCCACAATTATATGGTCTCCAGTTGTAGTTCCATTCATTATTTTAAGTAGTATTATTCAAAAAATAGAGAAGAAATAGAGAAAAAAAGCACTCTTCATCTGGTAATTGGTAATGACAAACAAACAGTAGTATGTTCACAGCACAAAAGGGCATACTTCTGTTTGTTTGTCTACCGCCAATGAACATACAGTACATAGAAAGTCTAAGGTATTTTCGCCATTTAGTTCGAATGGGATAAAATGAACTTAGAACGTCGTTTCTGATATAATATTGTAACTCTGTGTATGTAGTTTGCAATGCCACCTTTGGTTGAAAATCTTAAAAAATGGACCAAATGCATTTAGCAAGTCTGCTCCTCAAATGAGTAAAGGTGGGTTGACAAGTTAGGAACGAAACAAAATCATTAATTTTAAATCTTTGTCACTTTTAAGTTCTCTGTCCACTTCGAGGAAAGTTTGAAACGATAGTTATGTATTTTACCACATGACACTATTAATCTAGTTAGTAAAATAATAATATGTACTCTCCCAAAAAATCATTTATGGGTATTTCGCCACTGCACTGCAAGAAAATACTGCTTGTCAGAAGTTATGTTTACAGTTATACAAATTTGCCTAACAAAAAAAAATGCTTAACGTTTCGGAAAGTTTATCTCCTTCCGTCGTCGGAAGCAAAAAAAATACAAAGAATAAAGAAAAAAACTATTTAAAATATTTAAATTCAATTATTCGAGTACACTTTACTTTTCTGTTTTAAAAATTTAAATAATTTTCGCCCAATGCCGGCCTACGTATACCGTCTAACTGCAGGTATAAGGGTAGTTTCTGCATTTGGTAACATGCTCCGTGGTTTGCTCTTCGCCGCATTCTTATTGGGTGTCCCCATTCTGATTTATACCCCACTAGCGTGTACCAGCGACTTCGTTCGCGTCGAATTAATCATTTGTAATGGTGATGATAAAGCAAAGCAAGAATTTCCATTAACATAAAGACTG